TCGTGGAGCTTTCATCGTCTTTCTGAATGACATCGTCAGCACAAACTTCGGGTAGAATTGAAGTGTTTAAATTTCTCCACTTCTACCCGAAGTTTGTGCTGATGATGTCGTTCAGAAGGACGATGAAAGCTCCACGACCAAACCATCCAGCTCAGAGAACAAACTCACGTCAAAATCACTCACCTGAGCTACACTATATTGCACCATCTCAGAGATAATGAATAATAAGATCTAATGATGAACATCTTCTGATTAAAAATCCATAGACGTTTGTCATTCATATTATATTATATTATTCAGGAAACCCCAATTGGCTTTATAGGATTGTTATATGATCACTTTAATGATGAGATATTCATTTCATTTATTCTTTGAGTCTTACTTCCATTTCACATTATGAAGTCAATTATCATAATAAGAAACCAATTGTCTACTTAAATAGGGAACTGAAAGTTTTAACAATAACTGTCTAATTTGCTTATGCGATGTGTTTTTGTGTCATAAACTTGTCAGACATTTAATTTCAGTGGTTATTTTATAGTCTGCATTGAAAGCGTGAATAAATGTTTCAGCAGTGAACTATTACCGAAACTTTTATGGAATATAAAGTAACCAGTAGAGTTCAAACCACGTCTGTTGTGAGATAGTAACTCACTGAAGACAATTGGTGAACGGTTGCTCAACTTCGTGGATTCGTTGAAGTTAGACATAAACACCATCGGATGCCGGTACAGTGGTCTATTGATAGGTCCTGGATTCGAGTCTCGCGAGGGGCGAGGTTGTGCATGCGCACTGCTGAGGAGTCCCACAATCGGACGAAACGGCCGTCTAATGCCTACAGGTTTTCCTTGGTGGTCTAGCTTCAATTGACTGATGAATTCAACTATAAACTTCAAGATTTGTCTAAATACTTATTACTAAACATTATCTGAAAACTTAGAGGGCTGTATCTATGTCGTAAGATTCTAATAAGCAGTTAAAAGGGATCCTAGTTCCAAGCGAACCTCAAGATGATGGCGATTAACTCAGTTGAAAAACTACATACCTTTCGAACTGAACATTGCGACTGATCATTCGAATTGTGTTATTCACTTCAAATAAGTTTCTATTTACTTGAAAGTGTAGAAATATTAAATCTTTTTACTTAACAATCAAATTATCCAATGTAAATCTGTATAACTACAATAGTAGACCATATATATATCACCTTATTGAATGTCCAACTATGAATTATCAGAAGTCTACAACATGTGATGATACAGCTGATTCATTTCGACAGTGTATTACCGGCTATCATAATTAAAGTTAAGCTTATTAATTATTTATCATTATCATAGTTGAAATCATGAGTCAGCTGAAGCTAGACCACCATGGAAATCCTGGAAGCACTGGACGGCCGTCATGAGATATGATAGTTGCGTTCTAGTTTATTAATGTGTAATCTATAAAGCTTGAACAAATTACAAAATTACGTATTCACACTTCTTATTTTCAGGGTTAAATGAATACAGAACAGATCAATCTGCTAATACTTCATTACATAATAATAACCATTTTATAATTATAATAATATATAATCTTATCAATGCAATTGTACGACATTGTTTGATACTCATGGAACATTGTCAAGTTGTCTGGCTTTTGTTGAACATGGAACGCATTCATTCATGATGAACTCTTCTTTTTATGATTTTAACAGGGTTACGAAGGATCAGAATAATAAGAAGGAGCAGGTAACTTGATTCAACAAATGACGGACAACAATATGCATAACAAATAGAAATATATGTATATGTGTAGTTGAATGTATTTCGTCTTTATGTAGAAAAGACCATATATAAAGTCGTGTGGTCCAGGACAATCATTTTATCTTATTCATTTGATTGAAGTAAAGTGCACGACATCAATCGTTGATGTATGGTAGTGCGTTGTTTAATCCATTATGTTATGTGATCATTGGTTTTGTGATGGGATATCACACATAATAATACTTTTCATCCTAGATGTCAACAAGTATTCAATGACAACACAATAACTATGTAATCACACTTTTGTAATAAGTGTACATCACATACAACATAGAAAAGATCAAGTTTAACTGCCTGTATATGAGTATGAATTGTTGCATGAATAAAGTTTAGACAATATTTCGTTTTGTTCGCGGTCAGTACGTTACGAAGATAGATAGATTGACATATGTGGGGCTATGCATTCGATGTTTCGTTACAACACTGAGTCATTCGTTATACGAAACGAATCTTGAGGACGTTTGAAAATACTTCAAAGCACTATGTAGTGAAGAGTAGTGAGGTGTTTGTGCACAAAAAAGCCTATGAAGAGGTTCACAAAATGAGCGTCAATCAAAACGGACTTGCTGTTGAAATTAAGAAAACGGGCTAATGATACTATCTTTGATAGTGACTACAGTCCCGCTTTGCAATGTCTCCATCATGATTGATAATCAACAATTCATCCACAGCGGTGAAGAAGGTTTATTGTTTATATAAACACAGATTTAAGGATTAAAACAAACTAAATAACACCAGCTTGCGTGAAATATATTTGTCTGTCATTGTGGCCCAATTTATACTTTAAAATTGTTTATTTATTGGTGATAGTAGTGAGAAGTGAAAATATCTGACACATGTTTTGTCCCTATTTCAGGATTTATTCAATGAATACACACCTCGTATAAGCTTCTTAGTGTTAGTATCTATATTGAGACTTGAATTCCGAATGCATTTTAGTTTGCAGGATTGATGGAAATAACATCCCTGTTAAAATGAAGATTGCCTGATTGAATGTCTGCTTAATATAATGAATATATTTGACACCGTGAGGTTGTAGAGATTGTTTAATTTTATAGAAAGGATGAACAGACCAATGTAAGATAATAATTGAAAGCCTGAAAGGAACGAATGATCGATTTTTCTTAGTATGAGACTTCTTTGTCGAGCCCATCCACGATCCTGCAACCAGGAGTCGACTGCAGGAATTTCAGTCCCGCATGAAAACTCTCAACTTTAAAACCAGTGAGCCTCTTGTTATGATTTCTATTGTTACGACCCAGATATTCCTATTGCTTATTATTCCTGCACACCAATTCACTCAACAGGTCCCCAAGTCGGATTATGGTTGGACAGGAAAGAAATTATAATCCGAATAACAGTTGGGAAGGAATTAACAAACACAATCATAAATATGTAGGTATATCTATAGTATTTACGTGAAGACATTCAAGAGTCTTCCCCAAGAATCGAGCAGCGCTGATTGGGTGTTTATCATGATAGTCTATAGCAAGTACATTTTGACCCACCGTGAGCAATCGTCTTTCTGCCCCATGATGTCGATTGAACGTTTAGTTGGGGTTCATGAGCTTGCATCGAGATGTGTTCATATTTTCCTGCCAAGTAGAACTTCTGGTGGAGAGACTCCGTTGGTCGTTTAAGGGTTATTAGTACTAGAAGAAAACTTATAAGATACTTATGGATTCAATGGAGAAATGATAGCATTATTGTGATTACCCTAGTTTTTTCGTCAACTTTGTCGTATGGTTGATATTCTTTTAACTTGATCAGACTTGAAAAAATTGAATCAATTTTTCTTGCAAAAATTATTCATGGCTATTCATAAAAACTTTATCAATTGTCCAAAAAACTGAAACCATCCTCATTAGCAAACTGTTTTGACTTTAAAGCACTTCATTATAATGAATGTGACTAAAAATCTCATTATCGTCAATTCTAAGGTGCATGTGAGCGTAAAACTTTGACACTGAAAGCTTTACTCACAAAAACCACTAACTCTTGCAGCCATCAAATATTGATTCAAAGCATAAGGATCACATGTGATGCTGATGAAGAAAACTCTGGTTTAGGCCTACATAAAGACTAAGATTTGAAGGAAACTATTGAACCTATAGTCCACATATTAACAAAAAAAACATGGAAGGAATCGTAATCAGTCTTGATGACATCTCGTTAACACCTGCTTGTTACTGAGCATATAATTGATACTTGATAATCAAGTTACGAAATATGGAAGTGTTTGGTTAAGTATTGATAAGTGTTCCGACACATTACTCCATCAAAATGAACAATCACTTAGAACTCATTGTTGATTTCAATTATCAGGAAAACAACTTTCGATGATATGAAGGCGATAACGCAAATAATAAAAATAATGTTTCATGTTTTATAAGAAAGATTACATCAGCTAATATGTAGACTATGAAAAGAACATACAAAGTACAATGAAAAAAACTATCCAACTTATTATAATCAAAAAAAGAAATTTCAAAATATTCAATGGAAATACGAAATTGAGACAACGTTTACAGAGTTTTCAAAGCGATTTATAAGACGTTTTTGAGAATCATTCATCACTGCTCTTTCTTATGAGTAATCACATTCACATTATATAACCGAAAAACATGAAAAATAGAGAGACCAGAGGATATAGAAAGTCAAAGTATCCATGTGACTTGTCTGGTGTATGCTCCTACGTTGCTTCGGTGATCCTGCTTTGGTGATTCTGTAGAAAAACAAAGAATTAGCAAATTTCAATTAATATCAAATATCTACCAAGTGTTCATGAGTGTCTTCAGTAGTTTTTATTAGGTTTTGTCTAACCTGAACTTTAGGTGTTTGCATAGGCGTTTCAATGTGTTTGATGGGTGTTTAAGTACTTAAATCGTTGACACCTGAGTTCTTCCAAATAAATCAATCAGAAGCATTGATTATCAAACATCAAACATCATTGTTGATTTCACTAATCATCACACCATTGTCAGTAATGATGTCACAAGAGAATTCCACAAAAAGTTGCAGAATTGGCATTTGTACAATCATTTAGGATATCTACTAGTGATTAACAACCAGTGTGCTCAGCACACACTATCCTACACCTAGTTGAGGACTCATTTCTGTGGTGAAATGTGTGTTTTGGATTTCATATCTCATCAAAATGCTGATATAAATCGATAGACTTAAAATTGACGGCCTAATTGTAGCAATCAATTCAGATTACCCATTTTTAGATAGAGAATGAGAAATCGTTAATCTGGACTGTAGCACTCGTAGTCTACAAACTCACACTAATTATTGTAACGTCGTGCACAATAATTTTTAGTTGAGACTTCTTCGTTTCAACTGGTCTCATCGCTATATTTTGATAATTCACATAGATCTACGGATTCTTTTCAGAGTTTTGAAATTATGAAGCATTCAATGAGCTTAAAAATGTCAACGCCTTCAAACGTTTTTGGTGAGTGAAGTTTCGATCGACTTTGCACTTCGCGAAAAAGACGCATTGTTTCAATACTTGATTATATATCTTCATTGTACAAAAAGCTTTAAGTTGGTCAACGACGGAGAAATACTTGTCAGTTCCTAATGATAGCAATAAAATTTTCTTTCTGGTAAAAACGTTTGCTCGGAATGTGAAATTTGAGGATACTTTAAAAGACCTGTGAAGTTCAAGAAGTACCAACCTCAACACGGCAGTCATTTACTTTCAGTCCATGAGTGTTATCATCATTACTTTCTATACATTTGTTCACTTTTAGACACCAAATACATCTCATATTCGGTGTGGTCACTCCTTGGCATGCTTCACTTGTATTGAAGTTCCAACAATTTTCTATGAAAAGAAAAAGTTGTTTTATTTTCAAGTTATCAAACAAAAGAAAAGAAAAACACAAAACCTGTAACTGTAAGTCATGTGATGGTGATTTCTGACATTTCCATTCGGTGGAAAATGGTTCACGCGATGCATAATATAAAACTCAGTGCTTTTTCCATTCCACCAATATTTCACGATGGCGTGTTTGAATTGAGTGAAACTACATCGAGTGTAAAGAATGAAAGATGAAGTCTATCGAAGTCCATCTCATGATTGATTAAAGGAATGATTCTTTGAATATTCTCAATGTTTTTTTCAAAAGGCTAACACATGGCATACTGAAAAGTATTCATGGTATAGGTTATTGAGAAGGAACGCATTCTTTTGTGAATTTATTACTCAAACGCTGATCAAATTATCGGATGTGTATGACAAAGCAAAGATTACGAAAATAAGACGGACGTTTTCAAGGTAAACTCAGTCACATGGATTGTATTCACAACAATAATGCCTCAGAAAAATTCCACAAGACATATAATGAAAGAGAAACGGACGCTCAATCCACAATACACAATCACTTAACTGGCACTTAACACTTTTTGAAACTAATAGTATCCCATCTTTCATTTTGTGGTAAAGTTATAAATAGTAAGTTAAACGTCATTTGAAATGGATGCCTGGATATCACTCATTAGTTCACTACAGTTACACACAAAAATTTCAGTTTCGATAAACAAAAGTGATCTTTTTGAGTATAAAAATAATTAATGCTTATTAAATAGGGTTTTACGTACTTCCGATGACTTCATACTCCACCAACGTGCCACTTTTGATCCATTTTGCAGGAACAGGTATTTCATGATGTAATAAACCTTGAAAGGAAAAAGACACTCGAAATTTTGGTTTCTTCATAACGTATAACAAGTAATTTGCACTTTTTTAGAAGCCATCAAAATCAAGAACTACTGAGTATTTTAATACGTACACAGTGATGATCACTCTTAGGTTTATGGTTGACATTGCTCTCAGTTTTGAATGTGACAGATGATCAGCCAGTAAATCAAAAATCAAAACAGTAGATTTTCGAATTATTTTGCGAAGAAATCAGTTGAACATAGATGATTATACTTCAATCTCAGACACGCGTTTTGTCGTAGTAAGAACACGTCGAGGAATCAAACTCAGCATTATTCACTTCACACTACATTCGAGTATTCATTGATTGATTTTGGGAACCGCAACTGATTCACATATATCACTAAAATAATTTCTGTAATTTTTCAAAAATGATAGTTCATGAACTGAAGACATAAATACTTAGATTTCAATTCATTTAACCATGATGATCCTCTGTTGAAAAGACGTAGTCACTGATATCATACGCTTTTAAATAACCCGACACTGTGATTTCCAATCAGGTATAACACTGCAGTTTTCTTACAAAAAATGTGAACACTTAATCAACGTTAAATTCTCAACATTCAGAACATTTTGGACAGGGTGTTTACAAATATCATTTGAATTCCATTTCGCACAATTATACACAACACTTCGATAGCATTTTCACCAGCCGATTTTACACAAGAAATAACTGATTATTGCAAACTGTTAGAAAGCTATACTACTAGGCTGTGATAGGATATATGGATATCTTACAAGTTCATCACCGTACATCAATGTTTCAACAAGGTTTGTTGAAATGTTTCTTACTTTTTCCGCATTTGAATGAAGCGTTGATTGTCGCTTCCCACTCAGTTCCTTCAATTTCCTTAGGAATCTGAAAGCAAAGTGTTGAAATTCTGAGTCAGTATGTGTAACGACACAATCAATTAAGTGAAATCAATTGATCACAGAAAAAATGTCTCCATTTATATCAATTCATAGAAAGACAACTAATCACACTAACACTAATCTTGATGATATTTTCAGTTTTCTCTCCACAAATGTTCCATTCAATGTGTAAAAACATTCCAAATCACAACGGTTGTCAACTTCATTCAAGTCTTATGAACTATCTTTCAATCATGATATGTGGCGACGTAGTGTGAGGTGTAAATTTTCGTCTGTTGAAATGAAATATGATGGTAAATAACTGTGAGGATGCTGCAACCTGGATTTTCAACAATGAACAATCCGAACAGCTAATCTTAACAAGATGAAATGGAGCATGACAGAATATGACACATTCTGTATAGTACTCAAACACACTATCCTTTAATATTCATCACAAACACATGATTATTTATTCTGATAGATTTTCGCTTCTGATTATTCATTATTTTCAACACGTGCTTTCATAGTGTGTCATTAAAACGATTGACAATCTTGTCAACTAGTCCGTTTGCTCATTACACAATGTTAATCTCTTTTTATTATGGTCAACGTAACCAGATACCTTTGACAGGATTGAATAATATGAAACAGTAGAATGATCTAAAGTACATGAAAAAAATTACATTTTCATGAGATTGTGAAACTTACGTCATCAAAATACCAAGTTATTTTCCCATTTGGTTGTATTACACTAGTCATTTTCACTAGAACATCTACAATAAGAAGATTGTCGATACTCAGAATTTGAGGTTTTATCGATTAACAAGGTAACAAGGTGCATAGGTTGCAGTAGATATCTAGTGTGTTATCTGAAATGATTTCTTCAGATGGAATAGAAATTAATACATTTAAGTGAACGTCATTCGAATGAGACGGGCATGAAACCTGTCCAACAAATGTCAAATGCCAAGATTCTGAAGCTATATTACTACTGTATAATTATAAAAGCAACGAATCGTCTACTTTGCCATCAGGGATCTGATAGACTACAAGTACGCATGACATGAGCCATGAAGTGTTCGTCTTTACATTAAACTTGAGGATTTAGTTGGTTGTCAACATATATAATAATTTCCATCAGTCTACTGAATCTGACTACTGTGTCTTTTTGTTGTAGATGAGAACGGAAAAGCTTTAGATATGTGTAGATAATCGTTAATAGTAAGGAATGACTATGTGATCAATGGATAGGTAGGTGGATGTGTCATATTCAGAAATGACTTTGTCACTGAAACCTGAAACGATAAATAATCTCTACATTCATTTTACGACAAGTGGAATGAGATTCTCACCTATTTTATCCATGCTGACTTATTTATTACTCGTCAACTATATTCTTTTTCAGCTCACTTTACCTATTCTCTATGTCAAGATGGTTGTACTCAGTCTTCCCTCATTTTCCAGAATAGTAGCACCTTCACTCTTTTGTTAGTTTTTTGAAAGCTGGATTTGTTCAAAGCGAACACGCAAAAGTTGAGTAATCATAATGATTGGAAGTGTGAGTGATAAAAAGTTTCGCACGTTTGATCCAACGATTGTTCAATGTTTACTCACCTTTATCATTGACGGTAATTACAAAATTCCTTTTGACTGCTAACAATTCGTCTAAAATAATGAAAATCAAAATAGATGATAAAATATCTGAATATCGATTATCTACCTCTTTCAATCAATGTACGTTTTGACACGGACTGCTTTCTCAAACAAGTTAACATCTACATTTCGAGAATAAAATAAACCGGTGTAGCTAAGCTCCCAATCATCTCTTAGTAGGACATTTCAGGAAGTAATATGAATTATCGAGATGATCAACCTTTTAATACAATCAACTGAGCAGTATATTTCGCTTCATTGAAATTTGTTCTAGAAGCTTTCCACTTAGAAATAGACGTTCAATACCTTATCGACAGTACATCGTCAAAATCTTTTCAAGAGATTCTGTTATTCGTCAATTCTGATTTCTGACCGAAATAAATGTATGTCGCGTTGATGTTCTAAGTGTTCTTATATGAGTTATTCGTACTGTACGAGAGGACATGTTATGGCTGTTCATTAGTTAACTGTTTTGGAAAATGTTAGGATTCGAAGTGCAGTATCATACCCATATGATCACAAAAATAGTCTCACATAGTCGATGATTCACAGACAACAAATCACAGACATTGAACTTTCATGGATAAAGTATATGCTAGAAAACCTTGATAGTTCAAACACTTCAATAATTCAAACCGACTCTTCTAACAACATCGCTTACCATTGCACAAGTGGTCAGTTTACCACGAAATATGGTGTTGATGAGATATCTTCTGTTTTGTTGTTTTCATAGACTGGAGGGTGAGTAATTTTATTTCTGGCAATTTTGTCACTTGGATTATCAATCCAATTCACCCAATGTGTATATTTTCAAAACAATATCTCGTTTATTTTACGGCTAACCTTCAAAACGTGCTACACACAGACGTTCAGGTACAGAAATCACACAAACAGAACAATCACTGTGTACTGGTTAACTCTCGTGTAATAATCAAGCAATATACTGAGGCATTCATACAAAATAAGTGCGAGAAAAGGAGACAAAACAAACTTTAAATGAATATTATAAAAGCTCACTCTCATTGAAAACCACCGTATCAGATCTCCAAATCTTTTGTGCAAAATTTTCAATACCTCCGAAGTAGTCGTACTCTGCTCTGGTAAAACGTATCTTACCTGTTTTTATTTGATGAATAAATGCAACATTATTGATAATTTTGCAGTAAATAAATAAAGAGATTTTGTAATTATTGAAAGAATTCAATCAATTGCATGAACTGTATTTTGTTTGTTGTAAGAGGGCACACCTTTGACAGTTCGAACGAGAAAAGATATTCAAAGACGTTTTTCATGTAACAAGAAACCTCAAACTGTTTTACTGAAGAAGTTGAATCAACTTTGATTCATGAAGAGAAATTTGATCAAGAAAACTCAGTCATAATTCGAGCTCAACGAAATTTATTGGCTTACCATAATAATAAATATGAACTTCATAGATTGGAGTATCGTAGAATAGAAAGGAGAATTTCGGTTCAATAGACTAAAATGATGCAAACATATGGATTTGTAGTTCTATTGCAAAATGAATTCAACTCACGTATAACCATCGAAAGTTTTGATAACTGTTTTTGAAAACTGGTGGAGGCTGATTAAGCTGAATCCTCATTGAATAATGATAATGAAGAGACTAGAGTATATGTATTAGAATTTAACTGACATAACTTACATAACGGTACGAATCACTTTCAACAATGATATTCTCATAGTTCAGCAAATTACAGTTTTTGCAAATGTCTTGGCAGTTGAAATATCTATTTGGCCAAATGATGATCAGATGAAACGATAACCACAGACTACGCAAAATGGTATATCTAAAATGATCGAGATGAACAAATCAACGGTATCTCATTGTATCAAAATTTGCATTGAAATCTTATGTTCATTCAACACTTACCTCATCTTCTCGTGTAAAGTTATAAATGAAATTTTGATAGAACTTGTCAGGTTTATATAGACTTTTGAAGTGTTTGTTTGTTTCTTTGTGATTCGATGGTTCAAAGTGACCATTGGAAAAATCTAATTTATTAAAATCACACGTTCATTGACAACCAATCATGAAGGTAAATGACCTCATCATTATCCAATACGCTTCTGATTGTTGAGATGATCAGCTGAAATTTATCAGCCGTTGATCTAAAATTCATGACCCCTGTGATTGACAATATTTCAAAATATGCGGTTGCCTAAGTTGTTATTCAAAATTTGTGCTTATGTTTCTACGAACAAACAGTTTCTTATCTGGTGTAATTTATTGACTGATCGTCACCGATCAGTAGTTTTGATTTGATTGGATGAAATCGAAGTAGCACAAACTGTTTTGATTGGAAAATAATAGTTACCCTTTTACCCATGAACTTCATCGTCGTTCATTATGAAATTGTAACTTTTAAAGAAAGTCATATCTATTCTTTTCGTTACCATATTATAACACTGATTGTTGAAAAGTGTCTAAATGAAAAGGATAATCTATTCAAATTATTAACGCAGAAATAGATGTAATTGTATTCAGTTATGTTGATTGAGCTTTCGAAAGAATGTAATAAGAGAAATAAAATGCATTTTACTGAAAGTGAACTGTTGAAAATGGAGAACGATATCTCCCTCGTGACACAGATTTGAAATAACAACAGTGATTATTGTATCTGAAAATTGAAAACGTTTGACAATACAGATGTGGAGGACTGATTCGAATTCAGTGTTTCGATGAATGATTACCATACATCATTTGAACTTGTATTAATTGTAATCTGTGTCGGAACATACGAGAATTTCACTGTGTTAAGATAATATCAAGTGTATACTTAACTCACACTAAACATAGAATTCTGATGAATAAATAAAAGTCTGTACTTCCGTAAGTGAATAATAATTTCAGCAGACTGAGATGGGAATATTTGTTTTTCATGATATTTCAAAAAGGTTTACCTCCCGACTCAGTGAGGTTGTATTGATTTACTTGAAAATGATGTCGACACTAATCAAAATGTTTTCTCGAGTCTCATAGTCTATTGTCGAAAGAAACGCTTTTGAGTAATTTCGTTAATTCTTCAATATCAAAATTGTTTTCCATGGTACATTGCTCATTCTATGCTGTAGACTAATATCTAATCAGCAGAGGAAACGTATCTGTGTATGTAATAGTGTTAATGAGTGACTGTGTTCAGGAAGAGTATGACGGACATTATTAAGTGTTCAGTGCAGTGTCTCCTTATATCTACCTGTGTATTTGACATATTTTTAAAAGCGAATGTGTTGTAAGTACGCGATAAGTTCAGCAACCTAAATGGGCTACATGCTGATGTAGTTACGCGACATCAACACTTACATTTTGTTAGTTCATACATGTAACCCACTATTCTCTAATCGTCTTAATAATCACTTCAAAAGCTTTCAAATGAATGACTTCGCTGCATCGTGAAGAATTTATAAGGCAGTAAGCAAGGTCTATGGTGAACGTTTGAGGTCATTAATAATATGATTATGAATAGACATCTAATATCCTGTTGAAACCTGACAGTTTTTTCTTAATGAATGTCAACCATTCATTCTATTCATACTTTTCTCCTTTTACATCTTTCAGTAGAAGTCGCACAAATGTATTTGTACATGAATAAATGGGGAAACAGTAGTCTGTGGTAAAAAAGAGGAGTTCCAAAAAGTTATCAGAGACCATCAAGTCCATCGAAGAAGAGCTCGATTAGAATAAAAACAGGCTGATGTGAACTTTGCAGATTTGGATGCTCTAAGTAGGGGAAGTAATTTCATCTGTTTTCCATCTTCACGAGCTAGACGAATATTCACCGATGACGTAATTGATAGTGATGAGCTGAATCAAATTTAATAAACCATTCGGGAAAATGATACTTAACAATTTCAATCATTGAATGTAGTCAGAAATCAGGATGTTATTTTGAATGAACTTGCACAGTTACGAAGCATCTTTTACTACAGAATATCAAACTCAAGGTAGATATGGCATCTTGCATTTCAGAGGACAGACTATCCAGATCTTTGAAAACTACATTCTATTCTGCTGAATTCCGATTTGTTTTCGTCAAGAAGAAACGCATTAGGACAGTCTCAAGAAACAATTAGGGCTTAGGGGT